GATACACAGTGTTGGATTGTACGTATCGATTTGACTTCGACGTGGTGTAAAATCATAAAAACCTCGACAGCGAGAAAAAGGTGAAAACTGTCCCTTTGAATGCTGGTAGCGCCGACAAAGGAGAAGCCAAACGTTGTCAACTCCATTTTTAACTTATCATTTACTGCCTACTCTTTTTAACGGCAGGGTATACATTGCGAAATATAACTTTAATGATGCTGAAATATTTGCAAAACTCCGGACCGCAGGTGTATGCGGTGGGGAAAGAACACGCTATTGTCCTTTCCGAGGAGTAGCGCGTTCACCACCACACCATGCAGACCCTTCGTTTCGCCTGTCTCTCAACTAGTTCTGTCGATCTTTTGCCATCAGCAATCACCCGTCAGCGGGATGATCTGGGGGGCCCAAATCGGCAACGAACCCAGTTAAGCTGAGGCCGCAGTTATAATCATAATTTTAACTTATTATTTACTATGTATTCTTTCTTTGATGAGCTTACACGAGGTTGATAATGATGTTTGTTTTCGGCTAACGTTTCGACGTCTTCGTCTTCCTCAGACCCGATGATCCGAGTCGATGGTCCTCGCTTGTTATTCGTCTCGACGTGGCAGCTTCGCCTTCGCGTCGAGTCAGGTCTTCTTCAGTGAGCCATCTCCTCGAATGAGGCATTCTTACTCAGTGATGCCCTTTTGTACACGATGCTGACGGTCGATATAATGATAATGTCCGGTGATAACAACTTGTTTTTCTTCTGGACATACATCATTGCGCACATCGTGCGGAAGTCGGTGCAGTTATCAGCTAGCACAAAGCGTAGTATTATATCGAATTATTATTAGTATTATTATATTATATAATCGAAATATTATTTACTGCCTACTCTTTTTAACGGCAGAGTATATATTGCGAAATATAACTCCAATGATGCTGAGATAATTGCAAAACTTCGAACAGCAAGTGTATGCGATGGGGAACGAACGCGCTATTGTCCTTTCCGGGCCGTACCGCGTTCACCACCACACCATGCGGGTCCTTCGTTTCGCCTGTCTCTCAGCTAGTTCTAACGATGTTTTTGCCACAGCAATCACCCTGCAAACTGCGGCCTCAGCATAACTGGGTTAGTTGCCGATTTGGGCCCTCAGATCAATCCCGCTGATGGGTGATTGCTGATGCTGATATCAACAGTATGTATTAGTACCAAAGCTGAACACGAGGAAACGAACGGTTTTGGGAGTTCACGAAAGTAGATGAAAGGAATCGGGGGAATAAAACACATCTTTGTACCTGCCTTTTAGACTCCATGATTCCTATGGCCTCAAATTACAATGCAGAAAATTGAATATTACATTAGCATGAATCTACCTACCCTCAGCGTTTTTCAACATGCTCTCACGAAAACTACAACAGGAGTACCACGCTAAATGCAAAAAGAAAGACCATTATATATTTATAGCCAAAACTGCTCAAAAATTAGGGAGTAAAAGTTACTTCGTCATGTTACAGAATAATAAAATTGCGAGCCGGATATGTCATGGGTCTAAACAATATTTGCTAGATACAGACCCTGCTGAGAGGCAAGGATCAGCGCACACTAAGTCGACAATGGACCTAATCTTCCACATTCTTCATGAGGACGAAGAATGGAGACTTCATTGGTGCTCGTTTGCTATAGTTTAATACTAGCTAGAGGGAGTGTTAACCAGATGACACTCTGGTGTCGATAACTGATGACACGTGATAAATTTAGCAAAAATGCGAAAAGAAAAGATGTTTTGAGGACTAAAGTTGAAAAAGGCATTCAGCAAAGCGAAGAAATAGAACAGAGACAGATGGTAAAGTGAGACGTTGATCTGAATCCAAAAAAAAAAAAAAAACGAAAACAGAATAAAACGACACGTAGAAGATCAAGAAAAAAGTCGCAAAAAAGAATAAGATATTAAGAAGAGAACAGGTGAAGAAGAGTAGCAGCAGATTATTACGATAAGACCTAATAAATTTCTTCACAGTATACATAATGACCAACGGAAAAATTATGTTCTGTTACAGTTCCCAAGATCGACTTTCTATTAACCTCGGCAGTGGATTATAAATGCGTCATTTTCTTTCTCAGCAATCGCGAGGTTGTTAAACAGCGTACGTTTACAATGTTCTGCCTTTTATTTTCTGCCTACTACAATTTTCACGGCAGGATACTAAGCGAAATACAACCACAACGTTGCTGAGATATTTGCAAAACTCTGGACCGCAGGTGTCTATGGTGGGGAACGAACGCGCTTTTGTCCTTTCCGCAGACGTACGTTTACTTCCATACAATAACACACATACAACAATCGTAGCTGATGTTTCGACAGAATCGCCTCCTTCAGAGCCTGGAAGGGCATAGCAATTTACTATGTCAAACGCTTCAGTGACTCATATAGAAAGATGAGAATCTAAATTATAGTCACACGGTCAACAGCTTCTCGAAAAACCCACCGTTTTTTTTACGTGCCTTTCACTGAGGAAGATTAGAACAGCCGATTATAGTCGCACATGGTTGACGACTGCACGTCTCCACATCAACGTCTCCATGCGAAAGCACGGGGCAAGGTCACGTGTGATCTTGGGGCATTCTTCCCTGCTGTTCATTTTAGGATTTCTGGCATTTATCCAAAACCATCAAGACGCTTGCGCGCTGGTGATTTGGCACCCTGTGCGAGGATAGTGACTTTTATGTCAAAATCGTCAACGTTCTGTTTTTGTATCCTATGCGTCCCTAGTGGAGTGCCTTGTTTTGCTTTTCATTTGCCATGTAGGTGTTCTTTTATGCAGATACATAAAGGTCTGCCCATTTCGCCAATATATTCGTTTCCACAATCATTACAAGAGATCAGGTATATCGTAACTGAGCTAATGCAATCACCGTCCTTGCCAAAAGAGCAAATTAAGCAATTTGGTGTTTCACATTGACGGTCATATAGGCTATTACGAACTAATTGACGACGGAGAGTACCGGGTGGTACTTCTACTATCGTAACCGACTCCTCTAGACCTGCCTTTCTTAAACACCGTTTTATAGCTATACTTACTTCATCTCTAATAAAGAGCAGCATAGACCGGATTTTCTTTTGGCCAAGTGCTTGTTCTTGGGACGTCGCTCTCCTTTTAAACATATCTCGTCGGGTTAGCATTTCGAAGCCATTGGAGATGGCTATTTGCAGAGCCATGTCGCGTGATTCCTCCTTTAATTCCATTTTCGCACACACGAAGGTGGGTGTTCGAAACATGTTTCTCACAACCGCCCCTTTGTGTGTGAAGGATGAGAAGAAAGGAAATGAACGAGGATGTTTTTGTTACTTGGTTTTCGGTACCACTTGAACTTTAAGAAATGGAAGCCAGTTTTCTTTCGGTTTCTCCCGGGTGAACTTAATGTACTCAGACTGCTCGTTCAATAATTAAAAGCATTTGTCCATCTCCTCCTGTGTAGAGAAGACGACAAAACAATCATCTACACATCTGCAGTAGAGTAGTAGCCGGAGATCGAGAATAGAGGCTTCTATCTTAGACATAAACACAACTTATGTGTTTTAATGAGCAAGTATAAGACGGGACACGTTGGTCTCTCTATTTCATAGTGAGAAATAACAAATGGTTTTAAGCCTGCGCTCTTTACCACTTCGACCTGTTTCGGTATTGCCTTTTGTGTTCCTTTTCAGATGATGTGCGATAAAGGGTAACATCACTAAGATGTACCTCTGTTATCTCAACATTTAAGTGGCGCGGAATAACTACAAACTCTCCACCCTTATCACTAACTGATAGTCTAAAAGGTCTTTGAATTAAATAAATCTCTAATTTTTCGCAGACCACGTTTTTGTGCGGCTGTGAGGCTAGAGACAAACTTTCCACCGCAATAATGATTTAGGGCTTTGAGAACGTCGTCCGAAAACATGCGGAATTCCGTCTCAACTTCCACGTTAAGATCTTGCTGTCTTAAAAACGCTCTAGGAAAGGGAGACGGTGATAATCTCGCTACTTCTTGACTTTCTTTCTTATTAAATATTTCCTGCTTGGCCTAACACCGGAGTCCGTCTTGAAGTTCATATAAATTGCATGCGATCCTACGCACGGTTGCCTTAGAAATGGGTTGTGATGGTGCAAAGCTTGTAAATTCTAATAGTGAGCGCGAGCCTTCAGATATGGCCATACCCCCAAGTATGGTGACCCTAGATTTTCTTGGTGTATTGCCAACCGCAATTGTGCTTAAGAAGGGCAGGTCTAGAGGAATCGGTTGCGATAGTAGAAATATTACCCGATACTCTCCGTCGTCACTTAGTTCGTAATCGCTTGTATGACCATCTATGTGGGACAGAAAATTGCATAATTTGCTCTTTTGGCAAAGATGGTGATTGCATTAGCTCAGGTACGATATACCTGATCTCTTGTAATGACTCCGGAGACGAATATATTGGAGAAATGGGCAGACCTTTATGTATCAGCATAAAAGAATACCTAGATGGCAAACGAAAAGCAAAACAAGGCACGCCACTAGGGACGTGTAGGATACAAAAACATAGCGGAGACGATTTTGATATAAAAGTCGCTATCTTCGCACAGGATGACACCAGCGCGCAACCTTCTTGAGGCTTTTTGGATAAATACCAAAAACCCTGCAATGAGTAGCAGAGAGACAAATGCCCCGACATCACACGGGTGCCTCGCCCCGTACCTTCGTATCGATCGTTGATGTGGGGAGGCGCAGTCGTCACCCATATGCGATGCTGATCAGCGGCTCTTCCTCAGTGGAAGGCACCTAAAAATGGTGGGTTTTTCGAGAAGCATCTTTTTGAATGTGTTATTGAAGCGTTTGACGTAGTAAATTGCATATCACTATGCCCTTTCAGGCTTTGAAGAAGGCTGTTCTGCTGAAACGTCAGCTACGGTTGTATTGTGTGTGTTATTATACAGAAGTAAACGTATGCTGTTTAACAAGCTCGCGATTGCTGAGGAAAACGATACATCTATGTTCTGTTATATAAAAAATGGCAACATTGAACATGAAAGATGATAGATGAAGGATTATGTGCGGTCAACTGCGAAATTGTAATAGTTTTATGTAAAGGATATACAAGAAGAGGCTCTGAAAGGAAAAACGAATGGTCTGCCCAGAAACGAATAAGATAACCAAATACTACATTAAACTGAGGACTTGAAACACTTACCTTATTGGGATGTTTGTCAAACATTATTGGAAAATATTCGTCAACAGGTAGTAAATTCATCAATGGCTTCGCATCCAACAGCCGATGGGCTCCTTCTGCTGATAACATGTAACCGAGAGTCCAGTACGAATACCCGACGGTGCTGAGATGTCGATGATATGGCACCCATACCTCTTCCTAAAGTCAGTGTTAGTCGATCTTAGTAATCAATTGTTACCGGATAATGACACAACCATAGAATAATCACAAAGTAACGAATCGAAGTAATCAAGGTAAAGTAGAGTGGCTTTGCCAGAAAGAACACATTTACTGCATATCAAGGAAGCTACTATTAAGCCCTGCTGAGTTTGCTTCTCTAACATTATTGGTGTTAGCTGTTGTAGAGTAATTTTAACGGCGTTCATCATTTCAACAGTAATGCCAGCTATGCTTATCATCTCATAGATGTTTGGATACTTGGATGGTTGGATCAGGCCAAAGACTTCCCCTGTCGTCACCATCACAGGCAGTTGCCGCTCTTGTGGATCAGAGGGAGATCTGCCACCATACGACTAATTTGATACCAAGACGGTGGTAGATCCTGGTACTAGATCTCATCTTATAGGTAGGCGACATCAAAGCGCTAAAGCGTTGTGTGTGTGCTAATGTTGTCCTTAAACAAATGGAATGATGGAGGAAAAGAGATACGCTTCTCATAACTGGACTGTAGAGCAGATATTTTGTAAAGGAGAAATCGATTGGTCTAAGGCAAGCTAGATTCCAATAAGCAATATGGTACAAGCGACAAATGGACTTCACATATGGAAACATCTTTATTGTTATTGAAAAAGAAGTAGAAAAACCACATAGAAATACCATATCTTTTTCAAAAACAAAATCAACATTGAGAGATAACGGACAGAATCTAAACTACCTGATCGGCTTGTTTCTTCCGGCCCAAGTAAATGAGATCCCAATCCAATTTGGAAGTGTCGAGATCTTCCAACGCTTCTCTAATTCTTTCAAGTCCATTGTTTGCAAACCGCAAATCGTCCTCGAATACGACCACTCGTCGAAGGCCAAGCTTTAGGACTTCTTCCCAAATCCTTGAATTAAATTACATCAAAACGACGAAACAGTTAAGGCAAACGTAACCATGAAAGTGCACTGGCTTGAAAAGCGTTTAAAAATTCATCGTACCATTCTTTACTATGCCAAACCTGTAGTGGCTTAAAAAACAGCCAATTTCGCCAGTCTTAATAGGTCTTTGGTGGAAGGGATCAAGATATCCGGGAAGGACACGATACGGATATTCAGATGAAAGATTTCGACCATCAGTTGCTTCCCAATAAGTGGCATTAATTCCTGTATGAAAAAATGCAACAAGTGATAGGTGACAGCGGTGTAGAAAGACTCATATGAGAACGAACAAAAGCCATAGAAAATGGAGGCAAAAGAGAGGTAACATAAATAACAATTTACCTAAAACTTTAAAAATTTTTTCCATTTTTGCTCTTCGTTCTGGTCGACGCTTGAGGTTTATCATGTAAATTCTGAAAACATTCTCCTATTACGAGCAAAATATCCTATGAAGAATTTGTGGAAATCGATAGTGGTAAGTAAAAACTTTAGTATAATTTTATCATTAATTCTCTTCATACGAGCTATCTTCACACCTATGGTGTGGACCTCAGCACTTCTTGCATTTCTTTCGTTTTCTCGCATATGTTATCCACAAAGGTCTTGGACTTTTTATGTGTGGGTTCGTCTGTTGTCTGAGGATTTCGTCCTCTTTATGAATGTCGTTGAATGCTGGCCAAGTAGATTCTCCCTCGAGCCATGGGTTAGGTGTGCTAGAGCGCTATTGCACAAAGTTGAGGGAATGAACTGGGTCTAGACAAGTCCGGTTTCAATTTCCCAACCTCGACAGATCAGAGGCCTGGTGAGCCCGGGGCGGGGTCGAACGAGCACTGTGTTCGTGATGGACGGCTTCACTACTACTGAGCTCTCAGCCACTCTTAGTAGAATAGTATTAGTAATAATAGTAAAACTCTGAACCGCAGGTGTCTATAGTGGGAAACGAACGCGTTATTGTCCTTTCCGGGGAGTAACGTGCTCACCACCACACCATGCGGGTCCATCGTTTCGCCTGTCTCTCAGCTAGTTCTATCGATCAGTGCCATCAGCAATCACCCGTCAACGGGACTAATCTAGGGAGCCCACATCCGCATTGAACCCAGTTAAGCTGATCGATAGAATAAACTGAGAGACAGGCGAAATGAAGGGCCCACATGGTGTGGTGGTGGACGTGTTACTCCCCGGAAAGACAATAACGCGCTCGCTCCCCACCACAGACACCTGCGGTCCAGAGTTTTGCAAATATCTCAGCTACGTTGTGGTTGTATTTCGCTTAGTACCCTGCCGTGAAAATTGTAGTGGGCAGAAAATAAAACGTAAAGCATGGTAATAATATTGGTAATAATAATAATAATAATAATAATAGCAATAACAATAATAATAATGATAGGAGTAAATTATAGCAACGATAGCAATTCATAGCATTGTTACCAAATAAGCAATAATAGTAAACAGAAGATAATAATGATAACTATTAACACCTAGTACTAACGACTACCGACAACAGGGGCGCAGTAGTTAGAAAGGCCCTGCAATGTACGAGGGTTCGATCCCGCACGTCAGTTTCAGCAATTCTTCCATCCCTCCGGGGTTGCTTGGCGCCAGACTTGTTTGGGGAGGATAGCGGTACTGGTTCCATACATCGGTAGGCCAACGCGAGTCATTGTAAAGGCTATATGCATTCAATCATCTCCAACTATGCTTAGTGAAGGCGAATGCACGGCGCATCCCTTAGAGATTGTTCAACGCAGATAGCTTTTTTAAATACTAAAAATAGCAACCATTATATGCATACGAACTTATCAACATCCCATAATTGCAAATTAGGTGTCCATGGTCGCACCGTATGTGATGGAATTGGAAGATGCAGACCATCCGCAATCAAATCAGCCAGCATGTAACGAATCTTAAACAAAACAACAGAAAATTCTAATAGTCAATCCAACCAAAAAAATAGGCATTAAAGATTCTACACATAAACATTTCATGTGTAATGAAGTGATTTAAACTGTTCTAATCACCCTAGTATTTTCAAAACAAGTATAATAAATGATTTCAGCATCAAATGGCTTTTTCCATTCTTAAATCGATTCAGTAAGTAATCAAATGCAGAAAAGAGTAGATAAAGTACATACAAAAAGGCACAAAAGTATTTATAACAATTCCAGTAACTGGCCAGGATGAGCGGACATAAGGTTGCTATCAATCGTAATTCGATAACTCCTGACGTTTCGGCAACATCGTGTTCACAGTCTGGGCGTACTTAATACGACGCTGTTAAAATATTTTAACTTATTATTGACTACCTACTCTTTTTAACGGCAGGGCATACATTGCGAAATATAACTTCACTGATGCTGAGATATTTGTAAAACCCCGGACCGCAGGTGTAGCTTGACTGGGTTCGTTGCCGATTTGGGCCCCCAGATCAATCCCGCTGAGGGGTGATTGCTGATGGCAAAAGATCGACAGAACTAGCTGAGAGACAGGCGAAACGAAGGACCTGCATGGTGTGGTGGTGAACGCGCTACTCCCCGGAAAGGAAAATAGCGCGTTCGTTCCCCACCGCATACATTTGCGGTCCGGAGTTTGCAAATATCTCAGCATCATTGCTGTCAAAATAGTTCAGTGAGTTATCTAGAGTATTACAGAACACCTATTGTACAATGTTTCTAATTGCTGCGCTAGGATCCTAAAAGTTATTTTGAAATCACGACCGTTGTGTTTTTGGATCTTAGGTGTTCCTAGAAAAGTACTTTGTCGAATTTCAAGTTTTCCACCTAGGTCTTCTTTAACGTGGACATAGAGTGGTCTATTCAATTCCCCGATGTACTCTTAAGCACGTAGCGCGTGTGGCGCAGTGGTCAGAGGCGTCCTGCAACAAATACGTGGGATTGATCTACGCGCCCATGGCCCACCAAGCCTTTCATCCCTTCGGGGTCGACAAATTGGTACAAGACTTGTCTGCAAGGATAGCAGCACTGGTTCGATACATCGATAGGTCACCGCAAGTTATTATAAAAACCAGATATGCATTTGATCACCTCCAAACGATGCTTAATGAAGTCGAATGCGTGAACCATCCCTCGGGGATTGGTCAACACCGAGAGCTTTATCCTTTTTTATTATTCTTAACCGCATGCCTTATATAAGATTATGTATACAGAACCCGAACTAATGAAATCTCCGTCTGTTGTTAGGGCAGATTGATATGAAGGGTAGCTTGGAAGGGATCTTACTAAGGTTTGAAACATTGTTCTTAGGCATAACTGTACCTTTTGATATAATTAGATTAGCCGCGGCTTCGTAGCTACTTTTCATGCCAGCTTTGATCACTCGTTCCCTCGCTCTTCTGTACAAATATTAATATCTGTTCGGTACATGTTTTTTACAATTACCTTTTTATGTGTGATGGATGGACAGGAGGGTTAGTGAAGTAGTATTTTTTTACCGCTTGATTTTTGACACCATTTTGTGATACGGCCACTTTCTTAAGGTTTCATTTAGGGATTCAAAAATGGAAGCCCGATATCGTTTGGTCCTTACGTTCTATATTCTCTGATTACCTACTTAATGCTTCAAAACGTTTGTCAAATCTAAATAAGACCCATTTCAAGCCAACTTCCACATCTAACGAAATAAGATACGCTACTGAGAGATGTGTAAAAAGTAGCCTTGAGGGTTCTATGGTAGTTACCAATTTCCCACCTTGTACTCCGCCCCATTTGTTAGTTCGCAAGCACCTGTGTGATAGTCAATATAATTCGGAAAATTGCCGGGAGAGGCGGGGATTGCGTGAGTTCAGCTACAACATGTTTGGTCTCATGTACGGTATGCAGTGAAGAATATATTGGGAAAATGGGTAAACCATTTTGTGTCCGCATAAAAGAACATCTAGATGGAAAACTTAAAAATCGCTAAAGTACTACGCTGGGTGCACAAAAGCACAATGGCGGTGATTTTGAACTGATTGTCCAGATACTAGTTCAGGAATCCAAAACATTAAGGTGCAAAGCTCTCAAAGTGTTTTGGATGAATTTCAGAAAACCAAGAATGAACAAAAAGACGAATGCCTCTTTACCGCATGTGACTTGGTGCCTTTTCCCAAATTGATTTTTTGACTTAGGTGTGTTTCAGTTGTTATCCCAGGCAAACAACAAGCGGGTGGTCTCACACCATAAATGCACTGAGTTGTTTTCAATAAAGTGGCATTCGCTTGTACAACAGGTTTTACTAAAACTGTAGATGGTTCACCGAATTATGTGGGAAGAAATCGAAATGTTAACTGTTTTATTTACTGCCTATTATTACTTTTTATGGCAGGGAGCATGATGTGAAATGCAACCAGAGGCTGAGATCTCTGAAGAACTCAGATCCCAGACTAGATTCGAACCGCGATTACCCTTTCCGGGGGATCATTTGTTACGTACGGCACCACTGATGCCATGGCTTTGCCTTTCTCTCAGTGAGTTTTTTTTCAAAAATCTCAGTTAGATACAGTTAAATTAGTAGATAAACTATTAGCAACGATACTATGAAGTAGTAACCACAATGCTTGATATTCCTCGATTTCGTCAGTCATATAGTTCTCTATTTCCTCTATTGTTTTGACTCTTAGGGTCTCTACACATAAAAAGTGGCCGAGAAGACAAAACAAGAGCCTCAGTGGTGCCGTGAGTAACATGTAAGTCTTCGGAAAGTTACCACTGTTCTTCGATCTGGCCTAGCGTCCAGGTTTTGCAAATATCTCAGCATCATGTACGTGGGAAGATTTACACAAAATACGCCAAGGCTCTGGAGAAAGGAAAGCTCCAGAGACTTCAACTTTCGAATCACAAATGATAACAGCATCGCAAAAGGACGCGTATAGCGCAGTGGTCGGAGATGTCCATCAATACACATTGGATCGATCCTCGAACCCCAGGGTCACGAAGCCATCCATCCTTCTGGGGTCGACAAAGTGGTACCAGACTTCTACGGCAACACTGCACGATAGATCGGTAGGCTACTACGAGTCATTGTAAAGGCCGGACACGTATTCAACCATCTCCAAATATGCTAAATGAAGCCGAATGCATGGTGCATCCTTCAGCGATTTACCAACGCCGAGGACTTCTCATCCCTTAACAAGGTCGCGTCAACTCAGCGACGACAGTTCGTACGATTTATACAGAATAGTTATTAATGCCGAGGTTAACTGAAAGTCTGTCATTATGAATTGAATTACGATAAAAATATTTTCAGACATTTTAACGAATATCTGAACCAAAAAACTTCCTTTTCACTAATTGTTGCAAAACAATCTAGCCCTTCATATAAGTGCCAACTAAGTTCATGTATTAGTAAAAGAAAGGAAAATTACTAAAAGAAAATTTAAGAAAAAAGCAAGATAACATTGAAACTTACTGCTCTTCGTCTCGCATCAAGTTCCAATGCTTCGTCGATATATAAACCATAATACTTCAGATTATCAATCCATAACTCGATATCCATTCTTCTTGCCGATTCGGTAAAAACCTCAAACAATGACGCAAGCTATGATGTACATGACTGAATGATTTGCTAAAAAGTGAAAAGGTAAAAGCTAGCCAAACATTCACTTTTCCTCAAGCATAGCCTGAAAATAACGAAATGAACACACGTTACCTACCTTAAGAGGATCGACACTGCCGTCATAGTACGGAATATTATCTGCATCGAATGTAAGGTAAGAAGAATCTATTAAATCAACATTCACCAACATAGGCAAAACTGACTCCGAAATCTAGAACTATGAAAGTATTCAAAACCAAAAAATTAGTTTCAAACAAAGTGCAAAGAGGATAAAGCTTATAATACGCAACTTTTGGTACATCTTTGAAATCAGAGATAACGGACTGCTCTTCCTAGTATCAAATTTACCCAAGCATTAGGGCCATAATGAACTTCATTAGCTTCGAAGTCCTTCTAGCTAGAGCACTTATACTTTCGAAAGTTGATGTTCTCACACTATGCTATGTTACGAAGTAATTCGAACTTTGCAAATTCCGTAAAAAGCTCAAATAATAAAAGTCACCTCTATTCTCCCTTGTACTTCTCGACTACGGTAAGCTTCGTCAACCTCTTCACAGTTTGAAACATCACTGTCCAGCAGAGAAGCAAAGAAGGCGCTCATTACAACAGAGGTAGAGTTTAGGTCTTAAATCCAAAGAAGCTTTCAAGGAAAAGAAATTTTAGAAGCGGACCCCGACAATGAGGATTGAATATATTTCTGAAGCAAATGAACTACCAAGTTCATTCTCAACGTTGTCCAGTATAAGCCCAATGGTGAAATGGTTTGTAAGACCATAATATAATTATTTAAAGTAGAGATAACAATGGAAAAAAACTTATTTGGATCAACGTGTTTCTCAATGGTATCGTGCTACCGTCCATAATCAGAACCCGATTGGCCCGACTTATTCGGGCCGATCTCAGCGCAGCCTCCAGCCAGTTCTTCTCATTTTTGACTACCGTTAATGATGCGAACAGTGATGACATAGAAGTTCTCCACCTAAATACCGTTAAAAGAATATTCCCCTACCCTTGAAAGTTTTACAAGAGCTTACCAAGTTACTTGATCTTCCGCAGCGTCGTCCTTGCTCACGATGTAAAGCAGGACTCGCAATCGTCTTTTCGGATATTCGATGTTCTCTAGCCAACCAAGGACGTACGGAATAACGTGCGTGTGACTATCAAACCCTATTGCTATCTGTGTAATCGGATATAAATGGCCGACATCGCCTTCGTCGGGAGCAGCGCCCAGGAAAAGGCATGAAACCAAAGGTAACAGTCCTGCAAGCCATGCCACTGACCAACACTGCCACATTCTAAAGCGTAATCCTTCTATGCAGCGATATTACTACAATACAACTAGCAGTTACCGTACTGCTAACCTCACTCAACCAAACTTTCTAATAAATCTATAGCACATTATGAGAAAAAAGCCGTTCAAAGTAATTACGGCATTACCACGATAACGTCCACCTACCAAATAAATTAATGAGTGTTTTATAATTTACATTTCCTTTCGGACGGTTTACCGCCTCATCGTCGCTAGGCGGTGCCCTTGGGTCTCGCGCTGCGATGCACAGCGAGGGGATTCATCACCCCAGCACTGTCTCCCAAGCTAGGAGCCCGGTGTTTCCATCAGGAAGCCCAGCTAAGAATAAACCAATACCAGGATCCACCACCGTTCTGGTACTAAACTAGTCGCAAGGTGCCAAATCACCCTCCGATCCACAAGGGGTGCGGCTGCGTGTGGTGGTAAAGACCATGGGCAGACCTTGACCTGGATGACTTCAGGACTACAGAGAACTACAGTTGCTAAACTAGCAAAACTCCGAAAAAATGAGAACTATGCTTGGGCCAGCCCCCCCCCCCCCCCCCCCCAATCAGTGAGGACAGGTCATCCAAGTAATATACTTTCGCAACCTTATCGCTTGCTTTGAATATATAGTCGGAACCAAAGAGGCTAGCCGATTCGCCAAACCCGAGCAGATACCCAGATTCTGTGTACAAATAAATTGCGGAGTTTCACCTTATTTGTCTAAAATACGTAGAGAAAGTGGCAGCTAATTCATTTATGCACAAGTACCAAAGTAACGCAAAGAAGGAAAGCCAGCATAGTGGTATATCGTAATTCAGAATGAAATTCACAACAGTGCCACAATTTCCTCAGAATGAGATGTAAACATTGTGCATAGTGAATGAAATAAATTCTATCGAGTACATCACGAGTAACAGAAAAATTTTACATCCACTCGAAAAAAAAATAAATGACGCATTATTTCAATCAAGTATCATCAGACCTGGCCGGTCACAAATAACCAATACTATACGAACGTGCAAAAGAGGAGGAGAATCGTCAGAATACCAAACGATGTAGGAACTTTCTACACATACGAAACTAGTAGTGAAGACCAAGAAAACGTACACGATGTGAATGTCGACATTTAAGAATTTAACCCGATACCGTTGGGGGAAACGATATTATATTGCTGCAATATTAAAAACGAGTAGAAGAGGGTGTCATTAACTAAAAGACAATTTCTATAGAAATCAGAAGTTATATACCGTAAATTAACCCACACCTAGATATAAAAATCACAGCCAATCCCGAAAATGCTACAAAGACCTCTCATCATACTTTTTACCCTATGATAAGTTCCAGTTCTGTCCCTATTTGCCCATAATTATCAATGCTATAGCTCGATTAGCTCAGGGATCACTATAATTACAGCCACTTGCGCTTATTTTTCTCAAATATCAAGTAGGAAGTGCATCCAGTTAGGAAAGAACCAATACGTAGTTAACCTAGTACGATTAGCAGACCAAGTAAAACGACACAGTGGTCTTCAAAAGCGAGTGAGACTATAAAGCCAGTTTCGTCATGTTGGTGAACCTGAGGGAAGACAGTATATGTACCATAAATCACTCGAAGAGGATATCGCAATGGCAAAACTTTCAGCGGAATTCCTACTTACCCTGCGTCGAAATTCTTAGCGCACAAAGCGTAAACCTTTTACAACAAATTTCAAACGAATACATTAGGAAAAAGAGATTCTTTGGAAACTGGATTTGCAAGGGATCACCACAGACCCAAAAATTGGGAAAGCAAACACTATAATACACAATGGAAAAAATAGTATAGGATTTAAATGTAGGAATCTGTGTTCGAAGAAAAAAGCAATTTCTCTCCAGACAAAAGGGCAAGTGGCACCGGGAAAAGAAAATATGCGAGACTGACTAATGTAGAGACCAAAGAACGAGGTAGTAGTGATCACACAAAATGGCTACGCCATGTACTCGTACATGTCTCGAGCGGTTTCATCACGACGCATATATTCCTTCTCTATAAGTTGACCGATACAACGCTTCACCATGTCGACGCTTGGCTTGAATCGAGCTGTCAGTTGTTGCAAAACCTACAGAAGCAAATTTCTAGCTCACACAGAAAAAGTGAGCATGATGCGGGAGAAAATTTTGCTATCCGCAAACATGATATGAACCACCAGATTTGTACAAGGCAAGACTAGTGTAGTTAACAATTTCCCGTAGTAAAACATGAAAAAATTTTAACACGGTTTAATCAGTTTTTAATTTTTAATTCAGTTTTTAATCCAACGGTTTACCGCCTCATCGTGGCTATGAGGTGTTCTTAGTGTTTGAATGCGATATACAGCGATGAGAACCATCTCCGCAGCAGGGTCTCCCAAGCGGAGTTCGACGCTTCCATTAGCAAGCCCAGCTAAGCGTAAACCAATACCAGGATCCGCCACCGTCCTGGTACCAAATTAGTCGAGTGGTGGAGAATCTCCCTCTGAAACCTCTGATTCCTTGTGGTGGCGACGATCTGGGGCAGATTTTGGCCAAGCTAACCTCGAGACCCTTGTGGAACAGTGGTTAAACCAGCAAAACTCCGAAAAATGGAGATTATGTTGGGACCCGCACAATCAGTGAAGACAGGCCATCCAATTATCCAACTGAGTAAAACATGAAAAAAATATATGAGTACCTTCAGAAAGATTAGAAAAAGAATGGAAATGTGGGAGGGTGAAAAGCGAGATAAGAAAAAGGTAAGTGAAAAATGAATAATGGACAAAGATGTGACATTTCAACAGCATGATTTAAATGGAAAAATTATAGTGAGACGTATTACCTCAGTCATTAGTTGTGAATGAGAGATCCTCTTCCTTGTTTTCATGATTCTTACAATGCAAGCCTAAAATTCGCTGTTTATACATGAAGACTTAAATTCTAACTCGTCTATAAACCACAGCAACGAAAATTTTTGTTCCCAAAAGTCTTCACAAAAAAAAAGCTACCATGATGACTGATTAAGGAACAGAGAGAATTTTTAAACCTACATTGATTACACTTTTCCTATCCTCATCAACGTTCTTTTGAACATGCTCTGTTTCTTGTTTAGGGTCAGATCGCATAACCATTTTCGATAGATCAACCTTTAAAAAATCTATGCTTGACAGAAACGACTAAACAAATAAGACATTGGCTCGAGATTAATATAGAATTAACGTCGTCATTTTTTGTATACTGCCTACTCTTTTTAAATCGCAGGGTATTATGTGGAATATAAGCACAATGATGCTGAGATATTTGTAAAACTCCGGACCGCTGGTGTCTGCGATGGGGACCGAACATACTATTTCCCTTTCCGTGGCCTAACCCGTTCACCACCACACCATGCGAGCCGCTCGTTCCGCCTTTCTCTCAACTGTGTTATTAACAATGTTTTTCATAAATATGGGAAGATATCGCATCCGAAAGTTCAGTATATCGATATACACATACCTTGACCTTCTTATTTGAATACTTCAAATTTAAGCTGATTACAATCTCATCACTCGGCTCACTAGATGTCTCCAAACTTCCCGAGCTTTTCAAAACGTCGTTCTGAAATAAACTAAATGAAATAATTAAAAGTTTGATAGTAGTAAGTAAGAAGTGTTTCCTTGTCTCTATCATAAAAATATAAGGAAGACCATCTATCTATAAAGCGTGGTTAAGACGTGTGTGAAGAAATCCAACAAATATGAGAGATCAGTTCTGTTCCATTAACAATACTAGTCGAAGATTCTAATACGGCAAATTTTTCTCGAAGGCGTCTAACGAATGTGGTTCAAAGACTAAATGCCGAACCTTGATTAGAGAAACGAGGACTTGCGCTAGAGTTTTCTTGTCCATGCCTAAAGAATCCACTAATGCTCCAGTTGTGTATTCAAGCGAATCATTGAATAAAAGAAGGACAGCCATTTGCGCTGTTGTTGTCTGAAAAGTAAATCCCGTTCTTATATCATAACTTACGTAAACACCCAACTGTAAAACAGAAAGGAATCAATAAACATGAAAACGTAGAAAGATAAGAACATCCACTTACGGTGAGAACGTATTTTTTTCCAAAACCATATGAATACATTTCGCCACGGGACTGTGACAACACCTATAAAATTCAAAGCTCTTAGATACAATCCCAAAAAGCGACTTTCGACTAATTTCATAATTAATAAGGTAGTTAACTTGTTGTTAAGGCCATCTTTCTGATCATATGACATGAGCCTGCTAATACTTGACTCTCAATGGTTAACATTTCGGCTACATCGTCTGCCTCACTCAAACATATTAACATACTCATTCCTAATAACGTCCATTTTATCGCCATACGCTTTGATAGTTTGAATCTCGACCACATTGCCCACACAGTAACTGGTTTTCTGTGTATTTTGTAAGCAATTTCTGTTTGTCTAGGTATAGTTCCATGTTTTCGTAACCTTTCCAACCCATATGTGCGATGAAAAAAAACTACGCCACCATCCAGACACGATGCTGACAGCTTTTGGTGATGCATTTCACAACATACGATGTGTACAATACGGCATAATTGTATTTTTTTAAATTTCCTATAACCCGTCTTCACGTCTACTGTGCAGATCCCAGTACTTCTTACATTCGATTCGTTTCCTCGTATCCATTGTCCACGAAGATCTTCCAACTTTTACGTATGGTTTCGGTTGCTGCTTGAAGATTTCCATTTCATCTTTAATGTCGTAGAATGCTGGTCGAGAGTTCTCCTTGGAGTCCTGAGATAACCAGGCTGAAGAGTTCGCAAATGGATTGCAGAAAATGATTTTTTCTCCAGAGAAGTCTGGTAAGAATCTCCCGACCCCAGAGTGATGAGGTTTGGTTGGCCCGGTGTGGAATAGAACTAGCACCACACTCGTGATGACGGAAATCACTTCCACTGTGCTATTCGCCCTCATACACTAAAGCATATATGTCATATATGTACATGTATATGTGTGCAAGTATATACACATGTATACATTGTACATACGACTATATATACACGTATATGCAACACTATTAGGATACGACAGATTAGACGACTTGTAATGTGTTCAAAAAATATTCTGTGCAGTACATTAACATCCACGTAACATAAGTAACATCCCACGTTCAAATTTTCGTGGCTGCTGCATACAAAGACGCCTTCTTTCGTGTCAGCGGTAAAAGCAACAAAATTCGGTTAAACTAAAATATCGCAAATAATAAACAATGCTAATTTTGACAATGTCATATATTTTCGATATCTGGAAAGCTTGAAAGGTTGACAATATCACATAGGTTATAGAAAAGGGTTTGGTTTATCGACCATTAATGGATTATTTACCACATTTTTTCCATGGTTCACAATCCAACCACAATCCTGGCAAGATTTAGAAGCATTTTGTGATTTCTACCGAGTTTATTCCAATATTTCTTACATCCAGCCCATTCCATACAATAAGGGCTACCCATCACAACAATAGGGCTTGGAAAAAACCGCCAATTATTGGTCGAAAGTTGAAATTTGCATGGCCCACATTTCGAACTGTGCCGCCTTTCGAATAACTCCCGATGATTTGTCGATAACTGGCAGAACTGGATAACTGGGATCCTAAGAAACAAAGAGTTATAAGGAAGGTTGCTCGACTGCTCTATTACTACACTTATCAACATGCCACAATCCAAAAATCAGAAGTCGTTTATCGTTCTAGATCAAATTTATTCGTGAACCCTCTGGTATCGGCGCCTAATTTCGCGTTTTTGCGGAATGGAAGGCGCCAGACGTTTCGCTACGATCATTGTGATACCTGTTAGTTTCGCACCCGCCACACAGCAATTTTTCACGTAACCTCGCTCACTTTGTCGTAATTTCCTTTCTATAAATAGGCGGTTCTCTACGTTTTAAAAAATCACCGCGCCCTTCTAATCCTGTGTGCTCCATGGTCTTCTACACACCCTCCCATGTTTTTCGTGCATACACAACTTTTGTGTACGGAGAAAAACACTGGTCCAGTATAAAACCATAGTGCTCCCAATACTTAATTAAGTTGTATAAGTTCTGCAAGGAATATTACGATGTCCACCTTGTGGATTTGATATCCTCTCATTCCTTACAATACCCAAAAGTCATCATAGCCACTAAAAATTACGAAGCAACGACATGCTTCTCAAAAATGATGCATGATGCGGCACCCTCCATGCGTTGCCGGTTCTTAACGGAAAAGGTATTTTTGCGCCTTTTTACTGGTTACTCTTTCTACGCTGTACCCTTTTCAACGGCACCAGTCTCTCGCCGCAAAATAAGAAATTATTAGGCGGATCTCATCCCATGGACGACGATCGTCACAGCATCTGCATTGGACAAGCCATCGATTGGTCACAAGAAGTGTGGCAAAAAAACTTCTGAGGAGCAGAATAAACCACTAGAAGGAAAATGACACTTATAGGTGCCATTCTAAATATTTAATTTTGTAGCCATGAAACAATTCATTAGATGAGGAACAGAATGTCAATGGCCTCATTATGGAAAGCAACAATGACGCTCAGGAAGAACTTCGTGGGACCTCTTGCGAACCCGATGCGCCTCAAGAAAACGAACAAGGGATGAGTAATTTGACGTTTATGACGAGTACAATAAAGGCCGCGGTAAGTGGCTTCGCAAAGCATGCCTTCATAATCACCGGATCTTCGAAAGAAGTCAAAGTATAAAAAGCATAAAGCTCTTGACGTTGATCAATCCCTGAGGGATGAACCATGCATTCGACTCCATTAAGCATCGTTGGAGGTGACTGAACATATAGCCGGCCTTCACAATGACTCATGGTGATCTACCGATGCTGCTATCCTCCCAGACAAGTTTGGAAGCCATTTGCCGACCACGGAAGAATGGAAGCCTTGGTTATCCACACGAGCGGGGATTGATCCCAACTGCCGAAAGAAGTTAATCTGGACAGGCTCTTCTTCAGGGCCGATAAAGTTCTAAGAATAATTTATTGTAAACATTAGGCACGTTACTGGGAACGGAACTAAAAGATATGGACTACAAAAGGTATATCGTGAAAATCTAGAATTTTTGACGATGTAAAGATTACTATAATGCTGAGATATTTGCAAAACTCCCGACCGCAGGTGTCTATGGTGGGGAACGAATGCGCTACTGTCCTTTCCGAGGAGCAACGCGTTCACCAGCACACCATGCGGGTCCTTCGTTTCGCCTGTCTCTCAGCTAGTTCTATCAATCCCGTTGACGGGCGATTGCTGATGGCAAAAGATCGATAGAACTACCTGAGACACGCGAAACGAAGAACCCGCATGGTGTGGTGGTGAAAGCGCTACTCCTGGGAAAGGACAATAGCGCGTTCGTTCCCCACCGCTGACACCTGCGGTCCGGAGTTTTGCAAATATCTCAGCATTATAGTAGTTACATTTCGCAAATACCCTGCCGTTAAAAAGAGTAGGCAGTAAATAAAAAGGTTAAGATGTAAGGATTCTTCGGTCAATCTTAAGGTGGGAATTCTTTGAGTGTCACAGTTCAGGGAATAGCGGAGTTCTAATCATGCTCATATATCCTACTGTTTCCCATGTTATAACAAACACTTTGAAAGCCTGCTGGCTAATCCCCATTTTGCCGATAACGTAATGTATAACCGATGAGACAAGTTATACAGCATTAAACCGTTAATCGAACTAATCAAGAGGAATTGCAGCGGAATATAGAACCTTGGAAAGAATGTGTATGTAGGCCAGTCCCTCGTGCTGCTTAGAAGTAGTGTCCGCCAGTATAGCCCAAATGAGAGGCATAAGTGAGGAATTAACTTATTCAGATTGTGCTTGAGATGTGAACGTGGTCACAAGAAATTTAGCGTTTGCTGGCAACGATCACTGCATAACTGGAGATGTGGGCACACCACACTGACAAGGCCTATGAATGATTTCCTAGACGAAGGAAAGCACCTCTATATCAGGAACTGGCAAACGAGTTTTTCCCTGGCTGAAAATTCATTTCAGAGGATTATCGTAGTTCTCATCAGTAACTGCAGGAAAAATGGAAACTTTGCAAGTAAGTAATCCATTTAAAGCTAAATAGGGGATAGTGATTAGCACAAACGAATTGGAGTGGCATAGTAGTGTTGAAATGGAAACACTGGGCGATTACTGTGTCCACAGTTAATGAGATGACCGCAAAACCACAGGTGATTGAAAGCTGTACTTAGAGGAATCTGCTCCATACACAAGCAATCAGATGGTAGCGTATAGTTCATATATTAGAAGGAATGACATGTGGTACAAAGATTTCTGCTTTCTCATGGTTTAGGCACATCATTATTACCTCTAGTTTAGGTATGTATGGTAATTCGACTTGATCGCTTGACTTGTTTGATCAGATATGTGTGATGAACGCATGGAAGATTATCAATGAAAATCACATGCGCAACAGCTCACTGAATCACTTCTAGATGGACGTCTACTTGCGTTACATTGAAGATTAGAATACGTTTACACCATTTGCTTCTCAATTTGTCAAACAAAGAGGCAGAAGTAGGCAGAAACCACGAAGTCGATACGAGGAATGTTATAAGGCGAAATCGTAACACTGCGACTGTAAACAGGCTGTAAAATATGCTAAAACTTTTAGCAGTGCATGCAACAAGGATAACTTTCCAGAATATTCCAGTACTCAACATGAAAGTGTAGACTTTTAGCACAAAGCTCTATGTGAAGAATGTTAAATCTACGAAGCACTTGTGAACTTTACGAAAACATAAATTGCACATCACAGATTGGGAAGTAGATGCTCAGAAAGAACGACGTTTCAAGCCCAAGTAAGACTAGATGGCCGTTTTTAAATACAAATTACGTTGAAGCACATTAAAGGAACAGTCTCCGTGGTGGATAATTCCTTCAACAGCAATTCTGTCACGTTACAAAATGAAGTCGCCCGAGGACGGTTTTTATGAGACATTGAGACATTAAGTGTACAGAAGAGCTTTCCATGTGCCACATCCGATATAACATCTCTGCCAAACAAGCTATCAACTGTGAACAAAAAGTACTGTAAAAGAAGCTTTGTGTTGTGCGGCAAATTAAGCGAAATGGAGAAGGAAATACACGAAATACAATGCACCTTCAGTTTTATGTATTAAAGAATGCACATGTGGCTGCTTGAATAGCTTATCGCTCTCCTCAGCGCAAATCTCCTGCTTTGGTATCGTTCGACCCATAAAGCCTCATGCTGGTTTCCTGATAACTGCTGATAATTCTTCGATTAGTAGAGTAAGTGATGAATTAAGGAACTGATAGTAAGTAGGAAGTTAAGGAACTGTTTTTTACAGAAAGAGGTTCGCCCTATCGCTTTAAATATATGGTTTTTTTTTTAAAAATACTGTCTTAGCCATAATTCTCTTTAAAGTTGAGACTCGTAAAGAATTTAAGACGAAATTTATTTTTCAAGATAGTTGATGATTTGTTGAGCAGCTGCAAATGCCAAAATACAATGCAGGACACTATTCTGTCGTATTCTACGGAACTCCTAGTTTTCATCCTTTTCGCTATTTGAAATATAAGTCTCTAGAAGAATGGAAGAAAAAGTTGTTCACCATTTCATTTTCATTCTCACCAGTCATCATTTTTCCATTTTTGGTTCATTTAATGGCATTTTCACCTTCAGTAGAAAGTAAGAACATGTGCTGTGTACAGCATAATAGAACACCAGGAAAAAAAGTTGAACTCATACGGACCCTTCTGTCCATTTGCCTATGAGTTGAAATTAACTCACATCGGCATGAGTGATGAAACAGAGATAAATAAAATCTCACCCATGTCAGTTTCCTTCCACTATGTTTCGAATTGTAAAAAGATGTGAAGTGTTCGATGGCCATGTTGAGCATTCGAGGAAGATGCATCTTGAGCGTCGGCAAGGCAGGCCATGATCCAGAACTTGAAATGAGAAACAAACTGGGGAGTAATGTGAAGAAAATACGTAAAAGTAATGAAAGATTGTACAAAGTCCTCTCTTCGTAATAAAAAGAAAGAAAAAAAAACCCGATTTCCAAACAACACCATCACACTATTGTTACTCAAACGATTACGTCTGAAAACGCACTTACGATTTTCCTACATAGAATGATGAGATTAACCACTACTATTCGTATTCATAATGCAAGACTAGTGAATAAAATAAAGGATAAATTTCTCGGCGTTAATCAATCCCTTAGAGATGCGCTACGCAATGAACTTCATTGTGCATCGTTGGTGGTGGCTGGATGCAGATCTGGCCTTTACAACAACTTACGGTGGCCTAGCTCGACTCAGTGCTGTTATTCTCCCAGAGAAGTCTGGTACTAATTTGCCAACCCCATAGGGTTGGAAAACCTGGTGGCCCATTGGCACGGGAGCGATTCCATGTGTGTGTTGCAGGGGACCTCTGATCACTGCGCTACACAAGTATTTATACAAGAATAGGAGAAAATATAATGCTATAAATATTTGATAGGTTTCCTGCAAAAACGAACTGACCCACTCAGATAACTGTCTACAGTTCGCTTCAGCAGTAGAAATTAAGATCAGCAATATAACAAACCTCAAAATGAGCATACTAAAATCCATTGTCAAGTCGATCTTGCGGCTATTCAAATAATCACGGAACTCAGAGCAAGAATCCTAAACTAAGAATCTTGTGTTATCATAAATATTACATACAACAATCTTTTCCGAAGGACAGGTAAACAATACAAGCACCAACCCACACAAAAGGTCGTGTTTATCGCCTAGTAATAAAATGGCATACCTTACTGATTTGAGTATCATTGATCATCTTGGACAATCTATTTGTGTATTCAAATCCACACATCTGCTTCAACTTGTTAATCAAGCTAACTTCTGCTTCTTCTGACGCTGACGTTTCTGATATAAGCCTAGAAATTTGCCTATTACAACACCATTACTAACAAAGCAGACGTAGTCATAACGCATTCCAATGAAAAAAGCAAAGAAGTAAGGAATACTACCATGGAACACACCTTTTGCTGAACATCTTTGTGTAGAACTTGGAAAAGACGTCTTTGTCCTCGATATATTTGAATACCACCATCTGAAAATCAAATTGACTATATCAAATATGAATTAGTGTCATTAAATATTTTGTGTTAGCCAGTAGTTACACAGTATCACATTACTCCCAGAAAATCAATAAACCTACAACTTGAGAGAGCATATCCTCCAGCTCGTTCTCCTCTGGCATTTTGCTACTTTTCCGAAGGAGCTGGTCGCAATACCTGGAAAATGAAAAGCGCGAACCAAACTCAGACTTAAGTTTGTGACCTAAAACTAGATTTAAATACTAGACATCTCTAAAACAACAATGATCCCTTCTGTCTCGAAGAAAAAGTTCTCCCGCTCCTTTCTTGCCAAGAAAAGAAGTTATGTACTCACTTTGCGAGTAGTTCAGGTGATTTGCTCAACTGTTGTGGTGAGCGACGAGTTACAGCATTCTTGTTAATGAAAGTGGTTGCAGCCTAATATATGAGTGATATGATGCAAAACAAGATATAAATAATAAACGTGGCTTTGAGAACAAGTCAAAATCACTTTGTCAAGCGCCTGGATAAAACCGGACTCGTTCTGAAACGCGCTTCCGACAAGAGATGAATATCGATTATGAACAGAGAGAATTGTAGTGACGTAGAGCTTAGCATCCTTAAACATAAGGCTTCACAACGAAAAGAAAACACAGTGTTTTCGCTTGAAAACAATGACATACGGTGAAGGCTGCGTCTGCAATTTTGGCAATAGCAGCAAGACCTTCTTTGGTTATGTGTGCTTCCAATGCGGAACGTAGGTTATTCAATCCATCCTCGACGCGTTCGCACAACTGAAAAATTGTCTTCTTCTTCACTAATTGTTTGACTGATTTGTTAATGTGATGTAAAAAATAATCAATGCATCAAATAGCTGAACTTCACAATTACCGGAAGTAACTAAGATCCACCAAATATTAAGGGAAAAAACAACAAAGATGTTGACATATGACCAAAACAGGAAACTTCAGGTGGGTTTCGAATGCGCGAATACCCTTTCCGGAGACTCACGTGCTATCCACAACACTAATTGAGCCCCTTGTTTTTTGCAACAACAGCATCCATATGGTTGTATTTCACATAACTCTGGCACGAAAAAAAAGCAGGAAATATTATTTAAACAATGTGATTTCGACTACAGCTTTATTTTCAACTGAGTCCTATGCGAATTTTGCTCGCCAGATCATTTCTGGTGACAGGTGATAGCTGATAGCACCGTTAGAGCAAAACATTGGCTGAGAGGCAAAGCAAGGAACATGGTTGGTGCAGTGGATAACATGTGGACCCCCGGGAAAATGTAATTGCGTGTTCGAAGTCCATTTGAACTTCAGAGTTTTGCTCATACCTCAACCTATTTGTGTTTGTATTTCACAAAACAAACATAGTAATTTCGGTAGGACTGATTCCCACACTGTATTTTCTTAGATAGAAAATAGTCGCTTTAAGTGCATTGATGACAACTGTAGATGAATCTCAAGGACGGCTTATATTTGAAACATCAGTCTAAATGGTTTTCAGAGCCATATTTTACAGCAAAACAGAAGAGATATAATTAACCCAGAAGAGTTAGAGGAGAGGCAAGAATATCATTTCCAGATTTCCTTAAAAGCCTACACTTACTTTGTACATCCTTGCTAAATCGTCATCCTTGTTTGCTTCTAGCAGCGCGCCGAATTCATGTTGGAATAATTCAAGCTGCGCTTCAATAAGAACCTAAAACTACTAACAATACGACAGAATGCAAACTACATTCCTCATAAGCCTTTACAAAGAGGAAGAAAAACTAAAGCTTATTAGGTTGGTGTAAAAGTACTTTCGGTTACAATCGCTATAAAATTTGTAAATAACCATGTGATAAATACCTCTTTGTTGATATACACCACTTCTAAGCCTATTTTTTGCCCAACAATTTGGTATATGATATTCTTCTAGAACTCAGCTAAAATCATACAGACTCATGCTTGGAGTGGAGGACGATTTCCAAAGGTACTATACAGAAATGATTCGTAAGGTTACATACCATAGATGTGAGCCTTCATCACGGAAGACATGGGTGCCAACCACCAGTAAACATCGGAGTGGTAGTGTGAAGTTGCCCTTTCAAGAACTACTTGGATAGCTGTAGAGAAATTCAACGTTCACAATCCAATAGTCGTTCGCCAAGCACAAATCACTCAAAAGTGGGAAAACTCGATGAAAGGATACTGTGTGAATTTGACGAGTGGTAGCGAGGTAGTCGTACGGAATGTGTTGTGTGCTTCTTTTACGCAAAGTGAACGATCAATTCCTGGCTGCATTGTAATTTACGACGAAAAGTGCATCCTACACAACTTACTACGTTCAATACAGTGATTTTACTGAGATGAAGCTCCTTTAACGGTTGCGAGGCGAAACTACAGCGCAATAATGGTGATAATTCTCATTATCTGGCTGGTGGATGTTAGAAAATGTCTTCAGTATAACCACATCAGACTGCCAAAATCAACGAAATCCTACGAAACAACGTATTTTTTCCCTAAATGGTTAACATAAAACGTCATATAAAGTTCAGTGAATTGACCAACAGACTCCTGCTCCATACATTATACTCCTCAGGGCTCCGGTTAAATAACTACAACTGCTTTTCAAGCATGTCTGCAATGGAAAGCTGATGAAAACATAAACAACCAAACGGTGGTAGTGGAAATGCCTTCGAATTACACTTCGACATTGGAAAATTAAAATTCTAAGCTGACAAAACAAATAAACATTAACCTCATTAGGAACAATGTTTGGATTCCAAACGCTCTTATTTTGATTAATAAAGTTGTGTTTCCTCCTAACAGTTCAACACCTCATCGTGGCTGGAAGGTGTTCCCGGGTCTCGTGCAGCGATGTACAACAGGATATTCATCCAAAAAGCAGGGTGTCACAAGCTGAAGAGTCCGGAATTTCCACCAGGTCCACTTCGGCATCACTCCAGCTAAGAGTAAACCAGTACCAGGATCCACCACCGTCCCCGTATCCAAATAGTCGTGTGATGGCAAATCTCCGTCTGATACAAAAGGATGACGTCTGCTTGTGGTGGTTACGACCTGGGACAGATTTTGGCTAGGCTGACTTCGGGACTCCAGGGAACTACAATGACAAAATCAGTTAAACTCCGAAAAAATGGGAATTGCTGGAGCCGGCACAACCAATGAAGATGGGCCATCTAAGTACCCAACTATTTGAAAACGCAGTGAAGATGTGTTTGCGTTGGGTTACAGCATTTAAAAATATCGTTGAAATTCTACAAATATTTTCAAACCAACTTGGTAAATACAAATATGAATAAACCTTTTCACATGTCTTTGATAGTGGTTCCTGTGTGGCCATGTGTAGATACATGTCACATCGTGCCCGTTCATCTTCTAGCCTTCTTTCAACCTAAATTACTTGTCAGCTTCACTTTGTGATAACAAAACAAAGGTTTACTCAAATATTGTGCCGCTATAAGTTAAGAAAAGAATGAATTAATGCAACAATAACCTTCTTCATGTATTCCGTCAATGGATTGCTCTCTAGGAAAATCTGTGCTTCATTAGCATAGTAGTTCTCTGTCTCTTTCAGAAACTTCGCTTCGAAGTAATCCTGCGGTGAAAGTAGTCTTCGAAGTTAAGGAAGCACAAGAGAAATGAAACTACTAACCATGTAAACTCTAAGTTTCGCATTAGGATTCGACTGAGAGTTGCGGTCTTGATTCGGACTCTCGTCTTCTTCTATCCCCAGTTCGACTTAAACAAATAAACCTTTCTTTCTGCGAATTAAGAGAGACAAACTGAAAAAAGTTGGAGAATAATTGGTAAACTTTTGTGTTTTTCTTTGGTGTTTTCTACACGGCAATAATCTATGTAGAAAAGTCTTTAGAAAAGTCGACAAAACATTTACCGTAACAATCGGTGACGTCACGTATAAGCTTTCTGCACACAGTTTCACCATTGCGTTCTCGTCTGATGAGCTCAAGCACGGCGTCGGTGACACGTTCCTTGCTTTCCATGAATAAAATCCGTTTCCAAATTACGAGCGCTAACTTAAATCAAAAAAAAGAAATATGAAGAATCTGTCATGGCTTCCGCAAACTATTCACAAAATGATGAACAAGATAAGTAATCATTTTCTATGTAGTGCCTGCTCTTTAATGGTAGAATATCATTTGAAATATAACCACAATGGTGCTGAGATATCTGCAAAACTTCGAACCAATGGTGTTTACGGTGAGAACAGAACACGCTATTATCCATTCCGGGTACTAACGCGTTTACCACCACACCATGCGAGCCCTTCGTTTCGTCTTTCTCTCAGCCGTGTCATTGGCTTATAGATGCGATCAGTAAATTTCTGTCTGAGTACCATTAGGACTAATAGCCTTCTCATAAACGGAAAAGCAAATTTGGTAAAAACTTTTCGCCTAGTGTAAATTATGCATTAAAACAAGAAACCCTTAATATGTTTCCCTGTAAAGCACACATATGCAACAACATTGTTTTTTAAAGCACTATATTCTTAGAGCTGAGAGAAAGGCGAAACGAAAGATTCGTATGGTATGGTGACGAACGCGTTAGTCCACGAAAAGAGTAATAGCGCGTCCGTCCCCATCGCAGACACCTGAGGTCCGGTGTTTGCGAGCACCTCAGTATCATTACAACTGTAGTCTTATTATGCAAACGCTTTCAAGCCTTTTTAGAAGAATAAGTTTATATGGAGGCTACCTAAGAATACAGAGATACGGCCAGTGCAAAACGCCCCCTTAATTTTGCACTCAATCAGGCTGCTTTGTCGATAAACCTTATCGTATGTTCATCTTACTATCCTTAAGAATTAATTCTGTAGCACACAACAAATTCAAAAGACCAGATGCAAAAGAAAAGGAAACTGATCTAACAATACCGTATAGATCATGTAAATGTTTCCATTTCCCTCGTCCAGTTCTCTTTTGATCCAATGTCTATTAAGGTACGAGAAGATTCCATCAACGACCTTTAACGTTCAATGAAATCTTTGCTAAGATCAACACACACATATGAGTCCAAATTTGAAAAAACCGTAAAATTTAATGTACACATTAATATATCCGATACCTTCGAAGAAAACCGAAATTCTGACCATTGCGTCGTGTAGTAGTGTAATAAATCCTCCCCGAGAAGGTCTCGAGCGCCCTAAGCATAGAGTTTCATGACGTTAGAAAACCCGAAATATAAAAACCTACTTCCAGTTTCTCTTTAACGTATGTCTCTATAAAAGCGCTGAGTTTCGAGTACATTTCAACGCCGACAAAGTCTGTAGCTGGCGCTGCTCCATCTTCGGCAGCGAGATTCCTATGGGATGAGCGGGCGTTCGACCGACTGGCTCGACCAACAACTCCTGGCGACTGGTTAACAGAAATGGCGGTGCAGAAATCGTAAACACTTCTGAAAGCCCAATATAGACAACTCTCCACTAACGCCCCAAACCTGTTCAAATTAAACTATCCGCATACCACAACTAAAGAATAAAAAAGGATAAACCCCTTGACGTTGATCAACCTCTAAGGGATGCGTCATGGATTCGACTTCAATAAGCATCGTTAGAGGTGACTGAATGCATATCTGGCCTTTACAATGACTCATCGCCGCCTACCGTTGTAGCAAGCCAGTGCTGCCATCCTCCCAGACAAGTCTGGTACCAACTTACCGACTCTGAAGGGATGGAGAGCTTGATGGGTATGAGGCATGGAGACCGATCCCTTTTGTACTGCAGGATGCCTCCGACCACTCCTCTACACGCACCACGTCGTACATATTAAGAAGAACGTATTCATATTCACCATAAATCAAAACTTCTTCCATTAGAATTAGAACGGTAAGACACTACGATCCCGAGTTCAAACATTTCAATTTCCTTAGTTATTTTACTTTTAACATAATTTCAACTATGGCTTCCAAAAAGGCAATTAGTACCTGAAATTGAGCAATTCTCATGGGAAAATAAGACTTCATAGCAATGTGTGTATGGCGCGTATAGCGCAGTCGTTAAAGGTACCGAGCGATAGATTCGTCGTCTTTGGTTCGATTTCGCGCCCCGGATCCACCAAGAACCCCATATCTTCGGTGTTGGCATATTTATACCAAACTGGTCTGCGATTACAGCAGCACTAATTCAATACATCGGAAGGCCACCTCAAGTCGTTGTATAGGTTAGACTTGCATTCAACCACTTTCAACGATGCCTAGTGAAGTCGAATGCATGGCGTATCCCTCAGGGATTGATCAAGCTGAACGGTTTATTCTTCTTTACCCTTTATGGCTGCTGTATTCAAAGCGAACCCTACTACAAACCACCGTACCCAAGGCAACAAGATAGTCTCAAAAAGCGACTATTAGTTACAACCACATAGAAGCCAATTATCTTCATAAAAGGGTTTCAATAGTTTTCAAACACGGCAAAAGTGTACCGATAAACTAACACAAAGGATGGTTACTAACTTTTCATAAAGTAACAAGGTCAGAAACGTGAACAATTTAAAATCTTCTCAGAAACAAACTCACGTGTAGAGTTCCATGTATCGTTGAGATTTCATCACCTCTCGTAAGTAGACGGACTTTAGACCGTTGTAAAGACCTTCCCAGACGCCGTCGATTGTCATATTCTGACGTCTGCTTCCTGCAACCGCCATCACGGTCTGGAGATGTTTATTTGTAGCGTTAGCTCCATTCCAGCAGCGAAAATATCAAGAATACGTGAAGCATTGATCTTGCTTTAGATAAAGCACGAAGAATACAAGCTCCACTATCAACACTTCTGCTTATCAGCGATGTGTGAAGAGTCTCAGAAGAACAACAGAACTGGTAACAAGTCTAGGAAAGATACGACGTTGGAGATTTGTCGTATCAGGGTATCGAACCAAAAGCTCTTCAATAAGATCCGCGTTTATTTGCCTACGATGTCGTTTGCTCTACCACAAAGCACTTCACGAGCATTTTCCTCCTTCTGCACCATCGCTCCTCCAACACTTCGCCGCTTCAAAAGTGTTGGTAAGAAGACGATGAGACGTACTCTACACTATCTTAGTTAGCCAGATAAATACGTCTCGAAAAGTGAATACTGATGAGTCCATCAAACAACAAGGACATGGGAACGGATCGACGAGGACGACCTGCGAGCAGATCCCCAGAAAACCAGAATGGCACCACCGTCGAGCTCGAAAACGATGCATCGGAGATTTCGTTTAATGTTTAAGCCAGCTGAAATCAGGCCTTTCAGACATTAGCCGAATCAACAAGTATACTCGACCAACTTCCTGGATGCAACTACAGAACGGCGAAATGGGTGCACGTCCTAGGAAGTTTAAAACGTTTAAGTAAGTATTTAATCGGCGCACAGCAGTCGCCTAAGCACACTAATCCCCTAACAATAAGATGTTCACGACGAAGAAAAACTAAGCCAACAGGTACAAAAACATGGTCGCTCATTATTTACATGTGCGCTGCAGATTAAACGTCTTGATTGGGTCATGAATTTTCTTTAGAGCGCGTTATTCGCACTCGTAAATTTGCCTCAGCAATACTCCATAGTTGTAGCTTTTTTACACTTTACATGACCCTATAATCTCATTGTAGATTGTCAGAGACGATTTCGAAGGGTAACTAACAAATTTAATGGGTATTTCATTTTTTATTCTTGCTGGGAGGGTTGAGATATGTGAAGCGGAGAAATTCAGAGTATCAAATTCTAATGAACAAGGGGTGGGAGTCAATTCTAGTTGGCTCATCAAAGTTATGAACATATTCGTTACCTCTGTCCGGAAAGCCAGGTAAGAGTGAAGTTATCCTATAAAGGATGGAAAGCACTCGTAGCTACTTTCTTCCCAAAGACGATGATGAAAGCGCATTTTGCCAAGGTGTGGTACTCATCGTCTCTCTTGAGATACCCGATGACGCACGAAATTAGGGATGGAACAAATACGCACATGATGCTATATACATGTTTGGAATATCTGGCCCGTTAAAGCCATTAATAAAGATTCTGGAGATCAATAATGAGATTTCCTTATGTTCTCAATCTGAATAGATGAATAGATTTTAATTAGTATCATTACCAACATGACTCTAAAATTGCAGGTCATGGTGGCTAGGGCACATCTCCATACTACAATCATCGTTTCTTGAGATTGCTATGGCTTAACACTTATGCCAAAATGTGACCTCTATAGGAGTCATTTCTTAGGGACAATGACCTGCATGACCTCCACGGGATTCATGGTGGGCGGGGCGAATAATTAGGGGTCGTTGCGTGCGTGTCAATTCATACCTTTTCTCATAGGGAACTCTAATTGGTTATAGACAATCGGAGAGAATTCTTCCTGTTTCTTAATACCATATCTTCAATTCTTAATATTTTTTAGCGATTGGAAAAGAGAAAGTTGTAGGAAAAACTGGCCAAGCGTAATAAAACTGCTGCGGAATGAATACTGGTGTCGGTTATGCATAAATTCCATAAATCTAGTATGAATATTTAAAATCTTTTAAAAACTCATAATAGAAAGAGATTTTAAAAGAAGGACGCTAATTTAGTCAACCAGAAGTCTATTCGAGAAATGAGAAAAGCCGCCAAGAGGATGGCAGGTCTATGATCACCTCCAACAGTGATTCGAACACGGCTACCACACAGATTTAACGGTTGGCTCAAATCTACTGGACCGGGAAGTCTAGTTCATCGAACAGACACCTCTGCCTCCTCCTGTACCAGTTTCTATGATAAGCCAATGCCAATGATTCCACTTACAGCTTGTCGTCGTTGCTAATTGCGGCAACTTAGCAATCTTTAGCGAATTTTAGCCTTTGGTGCTCACTGAGTTCCATCCAGCTTTTCACAGGCTTCATGCTAAGCTAATAGAATAGGTTTTACGATGGCATCAAAGTTCTTAATCTTGATCGCCTCCGTTTTCGTCTATGAATGTTTTCAACGTTGCGCTGTTGATGAAGAACTCATTCTCTGCGCAGATGTGATGCCATTTACTGAAGGAACGTGACGGATATAGCAAAGGGACAAAAAAGCTCCCGACATTGGTCATTTCCTGAGGGATGCGACATGCATTCGACTTCATTAAGCATCGTTAGAGATTATTTAATGCATATCTGGCTCATACAATCACATTTGGTGGCCTATTGATACATCAAATCAGTGCTGCTATCCTCCCGGTCAGGCTTGGTACCAATTTTGCCTACCCCGGAGGGTTGCAAAGCTTGGTAAGCTTCGGGTGCGGGATCGAACCAATGTGTATTGCAGGACACCTCTAACCACTCGGCAACACGAGCGATGCATATAGTATCTTCGAAAACCTCTTTTTATGCGGACCGTTCAAGATCGTGTCCATTTTCCAATGTCACTCACAAATCGGTATTATACCCGCCTAAGCTGAGGCCATAGTTGAAATCACGCTGTCAACTTTTTCTCTTTACTGCCTACCACAATTTTTCACGGAAGTATTATTTCACAGTGATCCAGATAGTTTTTGAAAGGGGAAGACGTCCTACTCAAAGGTTTACATAGCATAATGTCCTTAGTCAAGCTTTCTATGGTCGGTCTTTCATATTTGGAAAGAAAACAGTCCGAGAAATTCTCAGCATTTCTGAACACCATGTTGTCTGGTCATCATAAATTGTCGATACGTAGAAATGATTTTCACACCTTAACTGAATCAATTGATTGCTGATGACAAAAAGATCGATAGAACTAGCTGAGATACATGCAAAGCGAAGGACCCGGATGGTGTAGTGGTGAAGTGCGCTGCTCCCCGGTAAGGACAACAGCGCGTGTTCGCTCTTCACTGCATACACCTGTGGTCCGGAGTTTTGCAGATATCTCAGCACTTCATATGAATCAATTGAATTCGGTTGATTACATCGTCCGCGAGCGGTCGTCCGACTAATCACATGATTCATCGTCGTAACAGGAAGTCACAGCCGTTCTGGAAGAATCCTGATTGCAAGGCAGCAAGAACATCGAGAAACAGGGCGTTTTAGCACGAATGCCTTGAGATTCAGGCGAAAACTATTGCGCAACCAGCATTCAACATGTTGGCCAGTGAAGAGAGAGAGGACGAACGAATTTTCAAGCCACAGCTGAACCGATGCAAGGATTCTACCAATTCCTAGCTAGTGGCGTTTATGAAACGACGAAACGAAGGGAAGAAGTATTGAGAACTATATGATGAAGACATATTATCCAAGGATCTAAGTGTCTAAGATGATCGATTGCCCTATAAGTGTTAGACAAGGATGGGCATTCCTATAAAGGAACGACGGAGCTTTCTAACACAGTGCTTAAAGCTGTCCTGGGCGGCCCGCGCACTCCACCAATCCGAGATTACCAAATTGGTGCCGAACTTGCTTGGTAGAGTTGAATGTTCTGATCTAATGCCTCGCTACGTTCCAGAAAGCCACTGTATAGGTTAAATATGTATTAATTCACCTATAGAATACCGAATACAGCGCAATGAATGGCGCATCCTTAAGGAATAGGTCAACGCCAATCTTTTTTGTTTCTTAGAGAATAACTATGCTACCGAACAATGAAAGGTACTGTGTTTGAAAATCGACTTTTCTTTAAATCCGGGATGACTAATTAATACGCATTCTTCCGCTGATAAGCCAGCACGAGGTCGAAAAACACTTTATCCAACTAGCGTTTTTATCGACCTCGTGTTAGCTTATCAACAAAGGAAAATACATATCGAAGGTATTATCAAAGGTATTTCACGACTTACTGGAAAGTCATTAGTCGACTTCCATATGTATCACAATGGGAAAACCCTAGTGATATCCGGAGAGGTGAGATCACCCAGATGAGACGCTTTGAAAATATGCTCCCAAATAGCCGGCTAAAGTTCCTGTTACAACCTCTTAAACATTCTTATCTTCAAGCCCACGCATGCCTTATTTCCTCATCTTCGTCGGTGGAGCTTTTACTTATTTTTCATTTTTCTTTTTGTAAGAGGAAGGGAGAGCTGGTCGAACTCCTAGTTTCCATCTCGAATATTGTTCTCTTAATATTTTGCGTCCCCCAACGGCTTACCGCCCCGTCATGGCTGGGAGGTGCTCCTGGGTGTCAGGCTGCGATGTACGGCGGCGTGACCCATCCCCCCAGTGGGGCATCCCAAGTTGAGAACGAGTCCGACGTTTCCACCGGGAAGCGCAGCTAAGAGTAGACCAAGACCAGGATCCACCACCGTCCTAGTATCAAACTAATTGCATGGTGGTAAATCTCCCTCTGATCCACAAGAGTGGCGACTGTCCGTGGTGGTGACGACCTGGGGCGGACGTTGGCCAGGCTCACCTCAGGACTCCAGGGAAATGCAATGGTAATGGGTAAGCCAGCTAAACTCCGAAAAAATCGAGATTATGCTAGGTCTCGTGCAACCAGTGGGGACGGGCCATCCAATTATCCAAGCATCCAAGTAATATTTTACATAAACCTTAAAGACATCGTTGATAGTAGCACGCGCTAAAGCGGATTCATAAAGCAACAGAATTTTATTTACGGGAGAAATAAGTCACACAAACAAACATTTACACCTATAATTTACTTAATTTACATTTATTTCTCCACTAGTTTAATTAAATATCCTAAATAAAGTAAATTTTT